CTTCAACACTTCGATATACCGACAGTCAACTTGGCACCGCTGAAGGGACTGCAGCACCGCCCAAATTTCGACGGAATCAAAGGCTTTCTCATAGTCCACATACGCCAGACATAGTGGCAAATTGTACTCCTCGGACTTCTGTACAATTTGCCGCAGGGTATGTATGTGGTCTTTGGTGCTAAAGCCTTTTCGGAAACCGGCTTGTTCGGGAGGCTGGAAGTCGTCAAGTCTTGCAGTCTTGCGTCTTCAGTCGCTCACATTGGATCGAATTTCTGGACAAATGAATAAGTATAAACTATATGTAAGGAAACATTATTTATTATTAACATAGATTTAAGCAAAACCAAAACAACGGATACAACTATGATACTTTTAACAACAACCATACTTTTTAAATTAGCAAACTATGGATGTAAATACATCTTGAGGCAAACTTTCGTCAATGTAAGAATAACTGAGTTAACAAACGCTAAAGAAGTATTTGAAGATACAGATTAAAGTAGTCGAAAATAATAGAACTTTGTGATAATAATTTGGATGGAACCGTCACAGAAGTGTCCTTAATGTCCCACGGAAAGCGCGTTTTCACAGATGAATAAAATTTAGCACTTCTGAAGTACTCGATTGCTTTGTCATAATTTACGGCTTTCTTTCACATAAAAAGGTCGAACGGTCTTATTGGTCCTTTTACTTAGATAATATTTTTTTTCATGTTATGAGAATTTACACCCTTCAAATTAGCGTGTAATTAATTTTTGGAACGAAGTTTCTTATCGGACGGTACGGGTTTGGCGGATTTTGACAAAAATTGTAAGATTTTTTCTTCACTACCCCTTGTGTCATAGTGTATTTTATTTTAAATGACGCTTTATTTTTATAGACGCTAATAATTAATTTATTTATATTTGTTAATCAATAATATAATACGTTTATCAACAATAATTTACTATGAAAGGAACTTCGATCCAACCGAGTGTTCCACGATACTCACGCATGCTGTTTTTATAGTATTTTCGAATCAGTTAAATCAGAATCCATCCATTTTTGAAAATTGTGAAACGCAGAGTGTTAATTTAAAGTTTAATTTTTATTAATTACAGCAAAAATCCTCAAGAATACAACTGTGAGATTGTTAAGTAAGACAAAAAGGTTGAAGTTTAAGAAGCACCGGGGCTTGAAAGCGGACTGTACGAAAGAGAAATTGCTTAATATAATATATCGTTGCAACAGCGCGAACTCATCGATCAAACATTGAACACGATAGGATATACTCAGTTATTGTATATGAAGGGCTGTTATGTAGCATGTACGTGTAGCAGTTTCCCGTGAGAAAACTTGCGCACGAAATACATGTACCAAACTGGCTGTTACACAAGCGGTGACACTTCGGTAACGTATAACTTAATACGTGTATGTAGCGTTCTATAGAAAATGGTTTAATAAACGCAGAATTTTAGTGTGAGTTCAAGAATCAAGTTTTTTTTTATATAGAATATGGGTGACAAAAGAGTTCACAGTCTGTCTGATGGTAGTAGGTGTTAAAACGCAGATGCGTTTTCCCCCTGATGATTAAGATATATATCTCGTTTGAAATAAAATGGGTATCTGGTTCTCTTCATTCACCATACGAAATACAGGAGTATTAAGCTACTATTTTACTGGTGTCCTGTGAGAATGTGGTTCTTTACCGGTATAGCCGACCCATTCGTGCTACAACCATAACATAAGTGCAGCATGGCTCTACCACATAAAGAGCGTTTTATAGCATAAACATGTAATCCCAAAATATATTTTTATTTGTAGATAAATATCAAAGATTTATTTGAAAAGCCCATATATCTAATGTTAACATAGTTAACATAGTTAATATTATTTGGAATAATAGTAGTGAAATTCCGTATTGATTTTTAATAAAGAATTAATTAGTTATTTCTTTTCTAGGACTCCGTACGTAAAATAGAAAAACCGTCTATCCATCTGTCAAGTATCTTTTTCTCAGAAACGGGCAGAGAGGTATAAAGTTGAAATTAACATCAAATTCTACAGTATATGGTCCCCTGGAGGAGATATTCAAACTTCTGAATGAACGCATTTAAAAGATACGGCCATTTATGACACATGCTTGTGGGTACGTTATCACTCCTTTAAGATATGATTAGTTACTTTTTTGACAACAGTATTTAAAGGCAATTAGCCTATCGACATTTTTCTTTTACTTTATATAATATGTATTTATTGAAGTCCTCATTATAATATCTTATGTATATTGTAACTGAAAACAGAGTAAACAGAATGGCACCATCCGTACGGGAAGCCATAATTTTAAAGTGACTTTTTTTTTATAGGATCGGGTGACAAACGTGCACACAGTCCACCTGATGGTAAGTGGTTACTGTGACCCATAGACATCTACATCTATCCTCAATAAAGACTCAAGATGCAGATGCGTTGTCACCCGTGAGGACTAAGATGAAATGCCTCTTTGCCAGTAAAAAGGGTCTCCGGTTCTCTACACTCACCATACGAAACACAGCAGCATTAAGCTGCTATTTTACGCTGGTTTTCTGTTAGAGCGTGGTCCTTCCCCGGTCGAGCCGACCCATTCGTGTTACAACCGTAATATAGCTGCAGCATGGCTCTACCACGTAAGGAAAACTGCAAAACAACTCCGTAATGGGAAGGTAAGGCAAGTAGCAGGATCTGTTCTCACCTCTTCACATGTTTACTACAGGTTGCTTTTTGAAATATCTTTAATTTAACACATCACTACAACGACGTTGTTATAGGTTATGTATAATTTACAGATTTATGTAGACTAACTTGTGATCGCCTAGTAATCATTTTTTTTAATTTGATCGTATTTTAAGTTTGTGTATTAAGTAAGTGGCGGACTATTATTTTAAATTAAAATATGTTATAAGTAACGATCTGCTCTGGCTCCGCACGTGTGATTTCTGGATCCCTATTCAAACACACACAAATTTTCATCAAAATCGGTGCAACCGTTTTTTATATATAGTGATTTATGGAAAATTATGCGTTTGACATTGACATTGACAATTATTTGTAGGCCATACAAATACTTGCTCCGTGCGGGATTCGAACCCGCTGCCCCCAGCGCAACAACTGATTGCTAAGCCACTGCGCCACGGAGCCGTCGTCGGGTTATAGGTAAAGTGACCATACGTTCCGTTTTGAACGGGACTGTCCCTTTTCTCGGTCACCTATCCCATTGTCCCCAAACAAAGCTCCGGGACACAAAATTGTCCCGTAACTCGTTGGATTGAAGTATTCAAAGCTAACAATCTTCAACATAATTTTTTTTAATCGAATATATTTTATGTCTACCTGGTACAAATGCTCCAGTAGAAAGAGTATTTTTCTATTTTGAATAAATTGTGGACGTCTGAAAAAAACACTTACGGTTCCAGTTCTAAAGACGATGTTGTTAACAAAGGTAACAATAAAAAAACTTGTCCAGAATTTTATTCTTATTTAAAATCATCACCAACTTTAAAGCAAATTTAATCCACTGACAAATGTAATTAATAATTGAACAATCAAACAAGCTTACCTGTAAGCGAAGTTCGATTGAGATTATACCTTGTTGTCTCTCCGAAGACGATGGAAATAATACTATATGTTAGTATCGCTTCTTATGCTCGATGGCGTCACATAAGTTAAAAGTAACTTAAAAATTTCTGAACGCATCCTCTAGTTGCACCTCATTAGCGCCTCAATCTGTCAACTCATTTTAGTTTAAAGCAAAAGTCTGATTCTATTTGGGACTGAGCCTGGTCTCATAGGGCATGGGCGGGTTCCATCGTCTTCGCAGAGACAACAAGGTATAATCTCAATCGAACTTCGCTTACAGGTAAGCTTGTTTGATTGTTCAATTATAGCCTTGTTGTCTCTCCTCGACGATGGAAATAATACTATATGTTAGATGTTCAAAGTGTCTGAACAGAATCAGACTTTAATTGTAATCAAACTGTGACAATAAAAGTAAAGAAATGGTTACCTTATTATTAATTAATCTAATTACAATTAGTTATCAATATTAATATCTCTAAAAACAGCATTAGCATAATCTGTGTTTTTAAAGTTCAAAATAGGACGATTATAGAATTTAGCAAAACAAATTGAGTTTTCAGTCCAACCAGCTGATTTTCTTATAATATCTATTGATACACCCTTATGGAATGCTGTTGAAGTAGAAGCATGCCTGGTGCTATGAGCCGAAAAAATGCTTACATCTATACCACTTTCTTTTAAAATGTCCTTTATCCATCTGCTGATTGTACTTACAGATACCCCTCTATAAGGTTTCTTAAATGAAATAAATAAATTTTTTATGTTTCCTCTAATTTTTTCTGTTAATTTTAAGTAATTTATCACTGCTCTAGCGGGACAAACATTAGGTTTCAGATCAAAAAAAGGTAATACAAGCAGGGGCTGCTGTCTATAGGGGCCTGATGTCTTTAACAATCTGGAGATTGTAATACAAATTTTGTCACTCTCTATTTTTATCTTATCAATTTCCACTGCTGCTAACGTCTGTGCTCTTTGTCCTGTTGCTAGAGCAAACAACATTGCTGTTTTTTTTGCTTGGAATTTTAAATTTTTTGTATCTGTCTGATAAAGCTCAAGGTATTTGAACACTTCTGATACATTCCAAGTGAATTGGTATTTTGGATTATTTGGTCTCAACCTATAGAATCCCTTAAATAATCTCTTTATTTGATCATTTAATCCAATATGAGAACCTATCAATAATGACAAGGCTGATCTAATGGAGTTAAGGCTTCCATAAGACATACCTTCTTCAAACTTTACTGTGAGGTAAGTTATAATTTGTGAAATATTAGCAGTATTTGTACTAACATTGTTAGAGGAGCAGTATATAAGCCAGTCCCTGAGGTAAGGTAAGTACTGCCTAAGTGTATTTTCTGATAGTGAATTCATCATAATATTGGTGGCTTCCTCACCAATGTCTGTGCTTAAAAATTTCTGGCGGAGAGCAGACCTGCCATCAAGGATAGGTTCTTGTAAAGTGGGTGCAGTGACCTGTAATTACATAGGGTAAGTAATTTTTTACTGGGTTGGAAAACAATAGAATCATTTACCAACAATTTTTTAAACACTGGGAACCAGGGCTGCGTTGTCCAGTAAGGTACAATAACTATTCCTTCTGCCTTATCTAAAATTATTTTTTCTAATGTTTTTAAGACTAGTGAAAATGGTGGAAAAGCATAGAAGAAAAATTGAGACCAACACAATGTAAAGGCATCCACATTGATTGCATCAGGGTCTGGGTGCCATGATACATACTTTTTGCATTTAGCATTAGTTCGGGAGGCAAACAAGTCTATGTCAGGTGTACCAAAGGCCTGCACTATTTTTCTATAATATCTCTGCCCCAGCTCCCACTCAGTGTGTTCAATATTCTTTCTTGATAGAAAATCAGCAGTGACATTATCTTTAGTGTTAATATAAGATGCAAAAATCCAGAGGTTACCATCTTCACACCATTGCCAAATTTGCCTAGCAATGTCATACAAGTGAGGGTATTGTATACCACCTAGCCTGTTTATATAAGCTATTGCAGTAGTATTATCTATTCGTAATAATATTTCAATATTTTTTAGACCCTTTGTGAAACTCTTTAGCCCGAAGAAGGCAGCTTTTAATTCTAAAGTGTTAATATGTAGTTCTGATTCTTGTTCTGTCCAAGGTCCACTAGCGGTTTGTCCAGCACATGACGCACCCCAACCAGTGTTGGAAGCATCAGTATGTATTTCTAAAACAAAATTACCCTTCCTTATTGGGCTTGTAGAATATTTAACTTTTTCAGCCCACCACCTTAGATCCTGTTTGCAATGATTAGGTAGTGAAATCAGTGCCTCATAATTATCATTATATTTTAAAAGTGATAAGTATTTATGTCGTTCAAGCATTTTTGTATATAACATACCATATTTAATTGCTGGACAAACAGATACAAGTGTTCCTAGCACCCGAGCTAAAAATCTTATAGAAAATAATTGTTTCTTATTTAATTTATTGATCAAGTAAAGGCAATTTTCTCTCTTTTCCCTTGTAATAGAAATAGTCATGTTCTCTGTATTGAAAACTAGACCTAAAAATTTGCACTGGTGTGAAGGGGTGAGACTACACTTATTAATATTGACTATAAATCCTAAATTAGTAAATAGTTTTAGAGTTAACTGAATCTTTTCAACACATTCATTGTAATTGCTACAAATGAGAATATAGTCATCTAAATATTGAACCAGACGTAACCCATTCTCTCTTAACTTGGCGTTTATTGGTTTTAAAATCTTTGTAAAAACATAAGGTGCTGTACAAAGACCGAAGGGGAGTACATTAAACTGATAAAGTTTGTCATTAAAATAAAAACGTAGGTACTTCCTATGATCTAACCTAATACTTATCATGTAATATGCATCTTTAATATCAATTGTTGCCAAATAATCATCTTTGTTAATTAATTTTGTTACTGTACGATAGTCCTCTAATTTGAAATCGTCCATTTTAATAAATTTATTTAGTTCTTTTAGATTTAAAATAAATCTAAAATCACCATTTGGCTTTTTAACTAAAAATATTGGAGAACAAAATTGGTTATGCACTGGTTCACAAGTCTCTATAGCCTGTATTGACAACAACTTATTAATTTCTATTTTTAATTGATTTAATTCACTTACTGAAAAATTATTATTTAAGGAAAAATTATTTTGTACAGGTATACATATATCAAATGGAATTGAATATCCCCTAACCCAACTTAGTATGATCGATTCATTAGTCAACCTTTTCCAATTATTTACATAATATTGCAGCCTTCCTACCTGTGGTATAGAAACATCTAATGGCGTCGAGGAGGCATTGGTTTCTGCTGTTGGTGTTTTATTTTGGGCTTGGTTACTCTCTTCCCCCCCAGCCTGGTGCTCAACTGAGGAGGGCCCCGCCAGTTTAAAGTCTTTGTTTGATTTTTAAGATGCTCCTGCTTTTCTTTAAGATCTTTTCCAGACCTTTGTATGATCTTGGCACTCTTTATTCGGTCTGCCAAATTTGTTCCAAATAGGAACATATCTGAATCTCCTTTTAGAGTATCTTTAAGGCTTTGATTTACTGCATTAGTAATTAAATTTTTCCTATTGTTAGTCTCAGAGTGAAAATAATCACTTAATAGTTTGGAGGCATCATTTATATTGCGGATTATATCCATCTTATCTCCATTTTTTAATATGGACTCTTAACCAGAGCCAATAGCAGTTAATGCTGCTGCAATTTGTTTTTGTTTTTCTTTAATAATTGTATCTCTCTTAAGCATATTTGCTGAAATTGCTGACACACATTCAGGATTTAAGACTGGTGCTATAATTTTTGGTAGATTTTCAAATGGCAAATATTTCTGTATAAGTTCCTTTTTATCTTCCTTTTTTAGGCCCCTGGTTAGAATGGGAGTCCATCTGTTTGCAATTTCAGGGTGGAGAGGTGGACCTTTTTCTTGTTCAGTGCTAATTTCACCCAGAACTGCTAGTGTCTCAGCATCTAAATCCTGTGCCTCTAGAGCTATATCTGGCTGATTTTCTAATTCACTAGTAGGTTGTACTTGGTTATTTAGATCTTTAGTATTTTCCGGAATATGTGATAGTGATTGAGGAGATTCAGATTCCTCCGGTTTTCCTCTCTCTATCAAAATATCCTGCTCCATCTCCTCTGGAATCAGATGTAACTGTTAAGAAACAGAAAACAATTTACCTTAATGTTTATGCATCCTTAATGAAAATCTATGGACCTTGTCTAATGTTAGACTTAGTATATGTGTTAAAGGTTCTAGACTCTACAGCCGTAGCAACCTGATATTTGCTTTGTGATGACCACGGGTTCTAGGCTCTACAGCCGTAACAACCAATAGCATCATGTAAATCTCTTTGCTTTTGTAGATCTAGGCTCTACAGCCATAGCAACTACAATAGCTTGATCCAATTAGTATACATATGGTCCTATGCTCTACAGCAATAGCTACCAATAACCTACACATTAAAAATAAAATTTAGGTTCTTGTTCTTGCAACTAATGCATCCTGTATAATAGACAAATTCTATATATATTCTATAGTGGTTCCTACTTATTGCTATATTATCTTGAACAATCTTATTTTATATGAAATGAAAGGAAGTATAATATTGCCTTTTTTTTTTGCATGAATGTTTAATATTAAACGCACTTCCTGCACAGAGGGATGCTTAAACAGGTGAAAACAATAAGAAGAAATGAGTGAAACAGTTAATTATTTGAATTGCGTTGTTTAACGGAACATGTAGTGACAAGTTAGCATTTCATCTCGGATGATTTTAGGTAGGAACCCAAGGTAATAATAATGATTATATGTCTAGATAATGTTAGTTAATTCTGTTTTACTAAGATATGTAATAATTAGCAATACTTACGGCCCTGCTGTTTAGAAAGTTTTTTAACTTTCTTCATAAGTTTTCTTATTTTCTTTTTTACCTTCTCATCACTTCTAACTTTCTCACGTTTTCTTTTCATTTTAAGGGAAACTTTAAAGAAAATACCCCAACAAAAAACTAAATTTGCTATTGAATTTGATATTACGCAGTAACGCCGTCGTGACATAAAAATCGAAATGAGTTGACAGATTGAGGCGCTAATGAGGTGCAACTAGAGGATGCGTTCAAAAATTTTTAAGTTACTTTTAACTTATGTGACGCCATCGAGCATAAGAAGCGATACTAACATATAGTATTATTTCCATCGTCGAGGAGAGACAACAAGGCTATAATGAAAGAAATATGTTGCATTTAATAATTACCGTCTATACGGGATATAATTTTGTAGTTAACACTAATTGTGTAAAGTTATAGTTTTTAGAGTATAAATAAACCCATGTCTCGTTTTGAGTTAAAAAATAAAAGGTCAGTTTAATTATAGGGGTTTTTGGGTTGTAATTAAACGATACCCGGGTAGGTGTTAGTTTTTACTTAGTAAAAGTAAGTAACTATTTAGATAAGTACCTTTTATCTAATCATAATACCTGCATAGGTATATATTGTGATTAGTTATACTGGGTAGGTATATTAATACCTACTTAGATACTTTTTACCGAATTACTATACCTACTAAGATATTGTGGTTAGGTATTAGGATTATTTTTAACTGTATAGTATACTGATAATATTGAATTAGCTTTTTATAGTGTAATTTATAATATTTGTCGAAATGTTAATTATGGATTCAAACTTTACATGCTAATGGTGCTTAATTTTTATCATAGAAATAATATTATATTTGAAAGGGACGAAGAGAGAACGAAGTGTGAAATATGGGTAAATCAGGAATGTCTAGAACAGGTAAATGAAATTGTATACTTGGGGAGTGCTTTTAGCTGGGATGGCAGATGTGATTTAGATGTGGACAGGCGTGTCGCTGCCGGGAACAAAGTCAATGGTGCCCTGACTGCGTTAGTCAAAAGGCAAGGCGTAGCGAAGAGTGCACGCCTTGCAATACATAACGCAGTGTTGGTACCGACTTTGTTATATGGCAGCGAAACCTGGGTATGCCAGAAGAAGCATAAAAGTAAGTTGAATGCAGTGGAGATGCGATCTCTTCGTAAAATGTGCGGCGTTACCATGGCCGACCGAAAGCGAAACGAAGAGATTCGCAATATGGCAGGTTTGAAAGATGACCTTAGCACAAAAATTGATAAGGGCGTGCTTCGGTGGTTTGGGCACGTTGAGCGAATGAGTGAAGACCGAATGGTGAAGAAAATATATAGCGCGAAAGTTAATATTAAAAGGTGTCGAGGTAGACCGAGACTAACTTTCAAAGACCATGTGAGCAAATTGCTCGAAGAGGGTAGGGTCAAGAGTACTCGGATACCTAGACGTGCATGCATGAAGAAGATAATGAATCTGAAAGAAGCGAAAGAGGTTTGTAAGGATCGTGACACTAGGCGATCTGTTCTCTCTGGCTACCCCGTCAGGTATTGTGCGTGAAGATAAGTATAGAAATAATTCTATGATTTTTATATTTGCATTTACTTCAATGAAAACACACGCAAAAAGCTTCATCGTGCAGTGAAAACACAACAAATAATAATAACTAATACGAAAAATTATACCCAAAAAAAACCAAATAATACTACCAATAAATAACCTAATAAGTAATAATAATATTATCGACTGATAAGATGACGTGAGCGTGTTCGCTGGCCGACGCTGTGACTAACGACACGGGTTTCACCTTCAAGAGCTCAGCGCTCACTGACTGCAGCAACCCTGTGGGCAGTGAATACGCCCAGTTTTTAAAATAATTTCTCAATAAAATCAAATTTTGGTCTTTTGAAAAAACAATTCATAATAGAAATGTTCATTAAAAAATTGCCTATCCATTAGTGTCAATCCCAAAATATTTTATAATGCTTACTTTACTAGGAGATGCATGTTATCAATAATTATTTCACATTTATATGGTTTCGTTATAAGGAGATTATTTTAATATTTATTTCTTTTGAAAAAAAATTGGATATGACTCTTATGCAATCAAAATTATGTAGAAATATAATGTGTTGTTTATTACTTGATATATCTTTTAAATAAAATGTAGATAGCTTCTAAAAACCACACAAATAACGACTAGCGCGACATTTTGCTCAACCTGCGCCTTAAGGATTTATTTTATTTAAAATATTTGTAACACATTATAAATTAATTTTAGCTTTCTGCACTCCTTCTCCATATAAACTTTAACTATGCCAAGTCTCCCCCTCCTCCGTTCGCACAATATGCTTAAAAAGTTACAAAGTTTTCTCTTTACGTATTAATATATAGATTTTTAAATTACTTAAAATCAACGTAGATATTTTGCACCTGCCAACTAAAATACATCTTTAGCACCCAGTGTTGACTGGCAGAGAACGGCGTTGGTCATAGCATTATATTATGTCCATCCTGTGTACCCTTAAATTTGAATAAACAAATAAATAATTATGTTGATACTCGAAAACTTACTCATTAAATCTTTAAGGTACTTCCCATTGAGAAAGTGTCATGAAATCTGACAAGAAGCACGATCTCACAGCACAAGAGTAAAGGAAAAATCCGGGAACCGTTAATTTGTGGCTTATATCAACGTTAATTTGTATATATATTACCGATTTCACACACAATGAAATATTTTTGTGATTACAAAGTTCCAGTTGGAGCATTTTTTTTATATAGGAGAGGGGGCAAACGAGCATGCGGCTCACCTGATGGTAAGTGACTACCGCCCCCCATGATCAACTGCAACACCAGGGAGGGAATTGCAGATGCGTTGCCGGCCTTTTAAAAAGGAGTACGCTCTTTTCTTGAAGGACTGTTATGAAAAATTAATTGTCTACATAACGGTCCAGTGGAAAACGTTCTCCCATACACTGTATGGGAGAACGTTTTTCCACTGCAAATTTGATTTTCCTCCAAATCTATTTACCTATAACATATGAATTTCACTTAGTTAATTATGTAGGTAAAGGTAAGTACTTGTCTAACAGCTTACACTGTTATATGCACCTATTGTATGTAAATGAATATTACCTTTGTTGATTTTCGGTATTCGTGTAGCGGCATATCGGTATATCAAAAGCCGGCAAAAATTGTCCAAACTCCCGATTCCTGGGATTGATGATCTATGACATAATAAAGTTTCTTCGGAACCGTTAGGGCGTGATGACTACTAATATGTCGTCATATATATTTCTTCTGAAATAAAATTCTTTTATATATAGAATGATCGATATTGAGAAACCCTCTTATTCAATTCAATTCCATATTGGAATTGAAATGGAACGAACAAAGCCTCTGTGGCACAACAAAAGTACTAAACGAGTGTCTGCTCAAAGAGTAAAATTGTAGAATAAATAAAAAAGATTTTAATGATTTGAAATTTCTGAATATAATTAAATTTATCTACATTAATATTTTTACGGAGTAAATTGTTTGCAAGTTTGAAAGCTTGTCCGCCAGCCACAAACGAGGTGTGCTGGTTTGTGATGATGTTTGTGCTGTTAGCCTTTTGGTGTTTACAGCTTCATCGCCATCTAAAAAAGGAATGAATTTTTGTTACACTACATCGTTACTTGCGTAGAATGAAGTACACGTGAATGAGTTATCTAACGGCCGTCAGAACAGGCTCTTATGGCTCGTATCGTTCGATGTTCTAGGCGGGGAGAACCGCCCAGGGTCTCTGGTGTACGGTGTGTACGTGGTGTGGAGGTGTATGCGGCGTGCCCGTCTGCGGATTCGCTGCGTCTCATCCGTTGTTGTGCTAAGCTGTTTGTGACACTAGGTGAGTGTGTAGTGTTTATATGGGAAAGGCCGGCGACATTTCAGTCGTCGGCATCTTGCGGAAAAGGATTTCGATTAGAACGTGACGGGGCCTCGGCCGTTCGGAGTCGAGATGACAGTGTCTGTGTAATTCGGAGATTCACTGGTACCACCGAGCTCCGGTGGCTATGCCAATGAATTAATTTTGGACGACTTGGAGATCGTACAAATGTCTATGGGCCGCGTGCACGAAAACTACGTTTGCATAAGACATGATAGGTCTTACACATGCTTTGTACATTTGGAGCTTATGTCTTAAGGACAGTTTGCTCTTTCTGTTAAGTAGTGGATGGAGGTAACTAGTGACGATTTTGACACGATTGCGAACATTGCGAATATGTTTCGCGAATGTCATACCGTGGTCAAATGTGACCCCTAGTTATTTAACCGTTCATTGCCAGGGGATCTGGCGGCAGTACAGGATGGTCGTACCTATAATTTTTTTGGGATTTTTGTTTTGACAGTTGAGATTGGGCATGGTTTGAAAGTGTATTGCTACACTTTTTTCGGGATCCATTTCGATTCTCCATAAGCGGAACCAAATGCCTAAGTGGTTGACTGCCGTTTGGAGCATGTCGGTGAGGATTCTTTAATGTCATGGGCGACGTAAAGTGCCGTGTCATCGGCCAAAAGAGCAGTATTCAATACTGGGTCCATCGGGATGTCAAACGTGAAGAGTGTGAAGAGAAATGAGGAGAGAATGAAGCCCTGTGGGACTTCCGAGAAGACCGGGGAGGGAGGGGGGCGGGTGGACATCGCAGAAGGCGCGAGGGACGAGGCGTCTTATAATGTGTCGGACGGTCAGCATGAGGCCAGATATGCTGGATAGAGGGGCCAGCTAGAGGCGCGGGCTCAGGCGTGGACTGGGGCACGGGACGTACATAGCGCTGTGCAAGAAATACAACCCAAATTTCGGGGCAGTCTCGACACAAAAAGTAGGCGTGTTCGTCGATCGTAATTGATGCCATCTTGTTTACTATGCTAACACAAGCACAGATGGGAACCAAGCTCCAACACCTTTCTGCCGGGAAGTGTTTGCCTAAAATGAACAACTATACACCTAGTGCGTTGCTAGGGTGTGTACTTAGCTATTGCCTAATGCAACAAGCAACTATATAAGCAACTATAACAACAAAAATTAAAACGATAGCCGCCTCTTAGACGGCG